CATAGTCTCCACTGTAGAAGGTCCTTCATTGTTATGTAATGATGGTAGGGTTAGAGTGTGGTGAAAACTGAATGAAGTCACAGAACTATACTGCATAGTCTTCACTGTAGAAGGTCCTTCATTGTTATGTAATGATGGTAGGGTTAGAGTGTGGTGAAAACTGAATGAAGTCACAGAACTATACTTCATAGTCTCCACTGTAGAAGTTCCTTCATTGTTATGTAATGATGGTAGGGTTAGAGTGTGGTGAAAAACTGAATGAAGTCACAGAACTATACTGCGTAGTCTTCACTGAAGAATGTTCTGAAGGCTGTGTAACATTGTGGTGCTAATTTATACAGCATGGACTAGATCCCTTGTTTTCTTTGAATGGTTATATCTCTGCTTGTGAATATTTGCTCTACCTAGCTAACCAAGTGCACCTTGTTCTAGAATGAGTTGAGAATAAGCTATCAGGAGACATAACCCATTAACATAAACTTTACTTGGAATGGAAATGATAACGATTAAGGAATGGTCAGAGAATGAAGCAGATACCTTCCACAGACTAACGGAACCAAAGTCACATCTTATCTAGATGTAATCTGGACACATGGTGGCTGAAGTTCATATTAATTTAGCTACTGAATGTAATTAACAATATGGTCATCAATATCTGATTAATATGGCTACTGAATGTAATTAACAATATGGTTATCAATATCTGATTAATATGGCTACTGAATGTAATTAACAATATGGTCATCAATATCCGATTAATTTGGCTACTGAATGTAATTAACAATACGGTCATCAATATCTGATTAATTTGGCTACTGAATGTAATTAACAATACGGTCATTAATATCTGATTAATTTGGCTACTGAATGTAATTAACAATATGGTCATCAATATCTGATTAATTTGGCTACTGAATGTAATTAACAATATGGTCATCAATATCTGATTAATTTGGCTACTGAATGTAATTAATAATATGGTCATCAATATCTGATTAATTTGGCTACTGAATGTAATTAACAATACGGTCATCAATATCTTATTAATTTGGCTCATTAATATCTGATTAATTTGGCAACTGATGGTCATTAACAATATGGTCATCAATATCTGATTAATTTGGCTACTGAATGTAATTAACAATATGGTCATCAATATCTGATTAATTTGGTTACTGAATGTAATTAACAAGATGATCATCAATATCTGATTAATTTGGTTACTGAATGTAATTAACAAGATGATCATCAATATCTGATTAATTTGGCTACTGAATGTAATTAACAATATGGTCATCAATATCTGATTAATTTGGCTACTGAATGGGCCAAATTAATCAGATATTGATGACCATATTGTTAATTAACTGAATGTAATTAACAAGATGGTCATTAATATCTGATTAATTTGGCTACTGAATGTAATTAACATGATGGTCATTAATATCTGATTAATTTGGCAACTGATGGTCATTAACAATATGGTCATCAATATCTGATTAATTTGGCTACTGAATGTAATTAACAATATGGTCATCAATATCTGATTAATT